AACTCCTTGCGAAGTCTTGATTTGCCCCGGCTGTCATTTCCGAGCGTTATACCCGTGTTTTGTTTTCTGTGCTTTGATCTTGGACTGTTTCCTGTTTCTCTGATTGTTATCTGCCTGCCCCGACTTGGATTGTTTCACCCGGACTCTGTTCTCTAGCCGCCTGCCCCGATCTCTCGCCTGGTTCTCGATTCTGCCGCTGCCTTGTCTCTACTGTTCTGCCTTGCCGGTATTTGACCCTGTATTGTCTGACGATTCTTAATAAACTGCAAATGGATCCAAACCCTTCTGATGTGTCGCAACAGAAGACTTCGCCGATCGGCGATCCAGCAGCGCTCCTACAATTATCAACAGAGCTCTCTGCTCAGGCCTCACAACTCGCCATACATCAACACCAGTTAAATCGGCTCACCACATTGACTGAGGAGCTCGTCAAGGCACTGCAAGGCATCAGCATATCACCCCCCGGAGCCATGTCTAATCCGCCATCTGTTCTCAGGAGCCCACAGCCTGCTCAGACACCTCCAGTCAGCCCACGACTTGCTTTCCCTGAGAAATTCGACGGAGCACCTGCCAAATGCAAGGGTTTCCTACTTCAGTGTTCGCTCTTCGTCAACCAACAGCCCTCGCTGTACCCCACGGATTCTAGCCGCATTGCTTTCACCTGCTCACTACTCACCGGGAGAGCATTGGATTGGGCCACCGCTGTCTGGAGGATGGACGGTTCAGCATTCCCCACCTTCGAAGCATTCCTTCGAGATTTCCGGAAGGTTTTCATTACCAGTCAAACTGCTTGTTAATGACACTACAATTACCACCACCGCTCTATTAGACTCCGGAGCGGCTGGTAACTTTGTCTCATATGAATTCGCTCAGCACCACAAACTAAAACTGACTCCTTGTAACTCTTCCCTAGCAGTGGAGGCGCTAGGCGGACGGCCCCTTGGAGAGGGGAGGATTTTAAGCATCACCGAAGAAGTCAAATTACAGGTTGGAACCCTGCACTCTGAATTCATACAATTGTTCGTCATCCACTCGCCCAATCACACTATCATCCTAGGACTGCCCTGGCTCCGCACTCACAATCCTCTCATCTCTTGGAGGGAGGGACAAATTATTCAATGGGACGTCAAATGTCAAGATCATTGCCTGACCAAAATTACCCGCGCCTTCAGCAATGCCTCTCTATCCCCTGCTCCAGTCCCACTCTAGCGACACTATCCTACCTGGAAGCCTTCTCGTGGCACCTGTACAGTGGGATATCATGACTGAGATCGAACACATGAATCTCCAAGATCCACCGCCTCCCGAATGCCCTGCCAACCTCACTTATGTGCCGGAACCCCAGTGACAGCGACTGCTCTCTCAGGTATACGTTACACCCAGCTCAGGCCATCCTGGAATCACTGCCACAGTTCACCTGCTCAAGAATCGATTCTGGTGGTCCACTATGCTGACCGACACCACCAAATTCATCCAGGACTGTATCACGTGTCAGACTTCCAAATCACCCAGACAACTCCCGGCCGGCCTGCTACAACCACTGCCAACACCACAACGACCTTGGTCTCATATCGCCATCGACTTCATCACCGACCTACCCAATTCCCAAGGTAACACCACCCTACTCACCATCATAGACCGATTCTCCAAAGCCTGCCGCCTAATTCCCCTACCCAAGCTCTCCACAGCCTTCGACACCGCCGAACTGCTCTGTAACCAGGTGTTCAGATTCTATGGCCTACCCGAAGATATCGGTACATGTAGTTAATTAATATCGCTCAGTACTTAAATGTATAATCACACTGTAACAAGGACACCTTAAAATAAAGTGTTATCAAATATACATATACGTCAATGAAAATTATGGAATTAGTTGTTTTTGCTTTAAAGCACATTATATTTCTGTAGCACTTGTGTATGATAATGAATAAGTGTGCTATTGTGACCGTACTCGGGGTATCTGTAGTGCCACTCATTAGTGTCGCTGTTGAAGGTGAAGAGTCGTGGGTTCCAGAGCCGCTCGGCTCGTTCTCGGACCTCCTGCCGCTGAGCCTCTTCCAGCACAAACTTCTCCTGCGTGGCTCTCATCTGGTCTTTATCCATAATCGCTCTGGTCACATGCTGCCACAGCCTGCAGGAAAACACACCCACAGCTTTCCACTATAAGCTCAACAGCTAATAACAGACAATATTGTTTAGTCATTATACATTTTTACAGCTCTTTGATGTGGTATAATATAAACCAGAAAGTTCAGGTCATTTTGAATCACGCTTATTTTTTGCAAAGTTGATTTAAAGGACAAGATTCAAAAGATTTAAGAGTGATTTGTGATTTGTAGTCGTCAACAAGTTTTGACTTCTTAACATTAGCAGGAGCCACCTGTAACTACATTACATTAACTATTAACAACATTTTGGCAAGCAAAATATAAATTGATAATATTTCATTATTGTACATGTTTTACCAGAGCTTGAGCTTCTGGAGAAAAACAAAATGGAATAGATTTATGAAATAGACTTAGTGGCTTTTATATAACAACATTTTTTTGTAATAAAAAGCAATAACTGATTAATTTTAAGATTAAAATATATTGTTACGGAGGAGGCTCCCGTACCACCTCCTCCGCACCACCAGAGGGAACTGTCCCCAGAGTATTAGCGATCTTCCATTCGGACTCCATTTCCCATCATCCCTCTTACCTGGGCCTGATTACACAATCCCACCTGCATCTCATTTACACACACACATATAAGCCACACCATTTCACGAACTCTTTGCGAAGTCTTGATTTGCCCCGGCTGTCATTTCCGAGCGTTATACCCGTGTTTTGTTTCCTGTGCTTTGATCTTGGACTGTTTCCTGTTTCTCTGATTGTTATCTGCCTGCCCCGACTTGGATTGTTTCACCCGGACTCTGTTCTCTAGCCGCCTGCCCCGATCTCTCGCCTGGTTCTCGATTCTGCCGCTGCCTTGTCTCTACTGTTCTGCCTTGCCGGTATTTGACCCTGTATTGTCTGACGATTCTTAATAAACTGCAAATGGATCCAAACCCTTCTGATGTGTCGCAACATGCACATTGTTTTTCTTATATGCAGATTCACAAAATGTAATAATCAAATTATTTTAATAAAAATATTTGTGTGTGTGTGTGCGTGCCTTTTTATTATTTAAAAACAGATGAAAAAATACAAACACTTTCAGGAAAACATTAAAAGCATTCAAAAAAATCAACGAAGGGAGTTATCGTATACATGCATACGAAGAGGATAAGTAAAATATAAAGTACATTTAAGAAATAATGATAAATAGAAAAAAAAACTTTTATGATAAAAATAATTTTATAATTTAATAATCTCTTCTCTGATGACGTGTGCACTAGTGTGAGGGCTGGCTAAGTTTCACTATAATAGCAAGACTGATTCATTTTACAGACTCTTTCATTTTATCTAGATCAAAACTTTATTCAAGTAGTTTAGTAAATTTGAAAACACAAATAATTGATTCCCCTCGAGTCTCTCGGTCATTTGTCACATGACGTGATGGAATCGATTACTATTTTACTCTGATGTAAGTCACAATAGAGAAGATAATATGGTAGCAATTTCTGACTTTAAAATTAAAATGTGTGCATTGACACACACACACAGACCACACAGAAATACAAGTCAAACTAATTTAGCCCAGCTATTTAACCTGTGAGAGCACAAGAAAAGACCCCCCACAACATTCATGACCTTCACTAGTGCGTGTAAGTGCAGTTTGATTTGTTAATCGTAAAGGTGTTGATTTCGAAACAAATGACCGATTGTAACCAGAAAAGGTCTGTTCACACACCTTGACCCAACATCTCTGAAATAATCACACAATCTGCTTATAATTATTCCTGTTTCTTCAGTCAAACTCAATTCACAGATTTGTATTTATTTATTATTGTTTCTTATCTTTTTACTCTGGAATAATAGAGGCAAGCATTTTAATAATTTGATTTGAAACATTTTATCCGCAGCTTTGGCATATTTCTAAAATGTAATATGTCGAAATAAAAGTCCTGTTTGTTTAGTTAACATAAAAAGAGCATTCTGAAACATTTTACATCCGTAAGTGTACAGAGCCCAAAGGGACACTGTGATGGGGGAAAAATGTATTTGAGGCTAAATTATATTTAAATGCTATTGCATTCACACGATGCTTTCGCTCGCAAAAGCATTGAAATAAGCTATAGTTTAGCCTCCCACCTCATATTATTACCATGACCAATTTTGCTTGCAAGAGAATGCAAAGCTTCGAACGCAAAAGTTGAACGCAAAGGCATTAAAATATAGTTTTTCATCGCACCTTATAGGGTCTCTGCAAATATGACAGAAGATTTGTACATTTCAATTGAGTGTTGGTTATGCTATAGACCAGGGGTCTCCAAACTCGGTCCTGGAGGGCCAGTGTCCTGCAGAGTTTAGCTCCAGCTTGCCTCAACACACCTGCCTGGAAGTTTCAAGTATACCTAGTAAGACTTGCTTGCAAGAGAATGCAAAGCTTCGAACGCAAAAGTTGAACGCAAAGGCATTAAAATATAGTTTTTCATCGCACCTTATAGGGTCTCTGCAAATATGACAGAAGATTTGTACATTTCAATTGAGTGTTGGTTATGCTATAGACCAGGGGTCTCCAAACTCGGTCCTGGAGGGCCAGTGTCCTGCAGAGTTTAGCTCCAGCTTGCCTCAACACACCTGCCTGGAAGTTTCAAGTATACCTAGTAAGACTTTAATTAGCTGGATCAGGTGTGTTTGATTAGGGTTGGAGCTAAAATCTGCAAGACACTGGCCCTCCAGGACCGAGCTTGGTGACCCCTGCTATAGACTCTAAAAAATAAGATAGTAAGCTATATGTTAACAAAAAAGAGAAATAAGGCCTAGTGTAGAAGCAGTAATTATTTCTAATTATACACTTTCCATCACTTTCGAGCAAGTTGTAAAATAAAATGGTCCTTTATGTCCTGTTTCAGGAATATGTTAAATTCGTATAAATATTGAGGGTATATCAAGTTTTTGCCATTCAGTATGTCAGAATCTGCCAATTAAGACAAGGCAGCCAACCCTTCTTTTGTCCAGTCCTCCCTTTAAATTGTAGGGTCGTGTCTCATTTGCTCACTAGATGGTAGCATTGTTGTGCAGTCCGTTCCTTCCCCCTGCTGTACTAGTGCAGATCATCCCTTGATATTTGTTGACATTTTTTCATTATTGTCTGGAAATGTTCTACCAGTATCCAACCAGTTTCTTTACTTAAAGCAAAGACACGTCTGATAAAGACACCCTGACAGCTTTACAAAGAAGAAATGATATTTGCACATATCACTTTCAAATCAACAAGGACCTTTTCAGCGTTACTCGATAATGTTAAAAATGCTTTTCAAACACGTCCAGACCGTTAGAGCTGGTTTGTTCCGAAATGCCACCATGCTCTTTTTTTGAAAGACATTTTACATGTCACTAAATCTGTCAAGAATCAAAACTGGACTTGATCTATAATCATCAGTAATCTGGTCCACACAAAAGGGAGAAAACAGTCATTTCATCTTAGTATATGAAGGTTTTAGTTGATCTTTGAGCAAACAATGTAGAATTCATTAGAATTAGTTCATTAAAACAATCTGAATATGAAGGAAGTTCATAAAAACCTGCCCTTTTAGAAGAGATAAAACTTTTAAAGATTCAAAAACCTCAAGTTCTAAATAATAATAACAATCTTTTGATTACAATAATATCTTAAAGCTTAATATTTAGATATTTCATATATAATATTG